TACTTTTCACCTGCGTATAGTGGCAGAAGGCGTTTTGATCGATCCACTCTCTTTAATTATAAAGATTGATTTAGGGCATGTCCTGTATATCGACGATAAGCACCGAGCTTCAGGTCTTGTTTTATAATACGCGACAGAGTCCTTGCGGGAATCTTCATTTCTCGCGATCAGATTTTTTGCTTCCTAATGGGGTTTCGACGAATTCTGGCATTAACAGAATTAAGTTCTAACAACACGCGGCCGCCCCGATCTTTTCTGGTCTTCGACAGACGAAGTGTTGCTGTATCTTTTGATAGTACGATATACAAATATACGGCTGATACCAAGCTTTTGAAGTGTCTGGAATATGACCGACGGCTCCATACTACATACGGCTACATTTTCTTTAACACCCCATTCCATATTGTAATTTGATAATGAATACGAAAAAATATGTGAAATGACGCAAAATCAAAAGAAGTTTTTAAAATAATATACGTGTTAAAAAATAAAAATAATTAAAAAGTTGAAAAAAAAGAAACGTTTTTAAGTTTTTTTGTAACAGTATTTACGGCTAGACTCGTTATACCTACTTATATCGCTAAATACAAACACTCATCTCTTCCCCATATACAAGCTCATGTAGAGCAATAATAAAGAGCCTCATAACCGCAGTCAGTCTATAATTCGTTGCGTTCTCAACAGTCATCATCGAAAACAAAAAGAATACTGAATTTTGCATACTTACCTATATCATTTTGTACCCACAAAGCTTCCCTACTTGAGCATAACGTAAACGTACCTGGTGGCCGTGACTCGATTGCGTCGTCACGGGTCAGTGCGAGGCCCCGCATGCGCTTACCGAGAATCATATGGAAGAACGAACAAAGGTCTTATTCAAAATTCCTTTTAAGATTGCGATACCTAAGATAACAAAGTAACTTTGAAAACCTTTTGAGCATCAAGACCTCCTTTCTCCCATCTCCTTAAAGCACGGAGTTTTACTTAATATCTAGTCAGTATTAAAGTTACTATATTTTACAATGCTCGTTTAAAGGTTTCCTTTATGAGTGGGCGAGGAAATAGTATGCAACTTTTCTTTTAATTGCGTCTGGTAGAGTGTATCCCATGGAGTTAATTGTAGCAATGAGCAAAATGATTAAAAGTAGGTATAGTGGCAGTGCACCTTCTATACTTTGACAATACCAAAAGTCTCTGTTTGTGATCTTAATTTTATAATTAAGAGATAGCACTCTCTTTTATACGAAAGCCGACATCGCGTTTGTGATACTCCTGGTGTTGCAGGTGTCTCTGGGCGACGGTGATGACTTACCATCAGGTGAGCCCAAAGTTTGTATGCCCCCTATAATAAAAAAAATATCTTTGTATCTTCGCGACTGGACTTTCACATACTCTAGACATCAGTTGGAGTGGGGTAATTTGTTACGCCTCGAATAAAAAACAATGCAGATAATCACCCCGCCCACCTGGCACGACAGTGGACTTGCCGGCCTCAACGCAATTTTCTACCCATAGAGCCCTAAAACAGGAATACAACACCACCAAAATTTCTTCAGAGAAATGGGAAAAAGCCGTTTCCCCTAGGCATCTATCTCTCTTTCTACCAATGCCTCGACAGCGCCAAATTCGGGTTACAAGTTCTAAACAAAAAAATCCGCGGAAAGATAGCCACATCTGTACAATATTTTCCAGAATAACCTAACCAGTATGCTTAGACAAACGGTTTATGTTTAAAGGAGATTGCTTCTATACATGTTTGGCCTAAAGACCAATAATCATGAAAAATTGTTTCCTAGATTCGAAATTATATATAAATTACTGTAGAAACGAATATTATTGACGGATACTCCTGAGAACTTCTATAAACCATATACACTGAACATATTAAAATAATAAAAAAACAAATAAGTTATATAGTAAACTAGAGAAATCAAGCCAAGTACCGAAATTATGGATTAGATTCAGGTATATAGAGCATGTAAATTAACAGATAGTTGCCTGTTTTTAAAGTTAATGCATAAGAGTAACTTATAAAATCAGGTGTCATCTATGTGGTTTTCCAATTACAGAGCATAATGCGACTCAGTGGCGCACAATGCCGAATTATGCTGATGCTTAATTGGAACGTGAATTAGTTTTCAAATGCACCAGCAACGTGCGCTAAGTTCAGTGTTGAAAAAAAAAGTCAATGTTTGTACCTTCATCCATATTTATATTAAATTTTTAACACAGTTTGAATTAACTTTGATTATTTAAAAAAAAACTATGATGAAAATAATAAAATAATTTTTCAACAGTAAATAATATTACTAATAACATATAAATAAAACATTTCGATCAATGCCAACTTAAAGAAAAAACACTTGTTAATTTTCTGTCTCTGAGTTGGTACGATTGCACGCATCACACGAAAGCATTAATTTTGAGAGAGCGTTGCTGTAGTTGGAACACTCAACGTTAAGCATTATGCTGCATAATGCGCTATAATGCTGTAATTGGAAAGCTACCCTAATATGCATTTCCGGTTATAATAAGGTACTCTGTGACAGAAACTGTGTGATGATTGTGAATGAGCCACAGATTAGAGAGAATTTTTAAACTCTCGTTAACCAAAGAAAGCTAAGAGATTTAGGTTATATAGCCATATATTCAGTAGCTTCATTATTTTTATTATGTTTTTAATATAACCATATTTTAGATTTTTAGTGTATCACACCTTATAATTTTATTTATTTATTAATTTATAGTCAGGCAACGTAGGCCCATAGTTAAATACCTTAAAGACTAACATATATACAGATTATAATGTGTTTATGGAGGTGTTTGGCGAAAATGTATGGCAATAGACTTTATGATGTTGCCTACCATCTATACTTATCATAAATCTGTAGAGAGGTCAATTCTGTAGATGAAATATATTTTCAAAATAACTATCAGGGGGTGATTAGTGATCGATACTGATGCCAAAAATGCAATCAGTATTTTTTTTGTCTGTCTGTCTGTCTGTGTGTATGTTCCTTATAGAAACAAAAACTACTCGACGGATTTTAACGAAACTTGGTACAATTATTCTTCATACTCCTGGGCAGGTTATAGTATACTTTTCATCACGCTGCAATCAATAGGAGCAGAGTATTGAAGGGAAATGTTGGGAAAATGGGAGAAGTTACTCCATTTTTTAAGCTTCCGTCGCGTGCGCAGCCTTAATGGTTAAAGTTACATAGAAATCATGTATGACGGAAATATTCTACATAAAATTGTCTAAAAAATATCCTGCAACAGCATATGTCAATCTTTTATGGTTTACTCACTATTGTGTAACTATTACTAACTCCTGATAGCTTAGCAGTTCGGAGCATTCTGATTATATTTGTTTACTCTTACGTTTATAATACTCTCACTCATCCCTAATTTAAAAAAAGTTAACTTATTACCTATTCAATAAAAAAAGAATTAAATAAATAAATTCAATGTGTACAATACACGCCTGAGAACAAAATCTGTAGTCTACACTACAGCTCTACACCGAAGCGAAGCGAGGCGAGGGCGGGCCACTAGTCTATAATAATTGTCTGAGCACATTTGCATGTAGTGAAAATGATAATATAGTTGTGGATATTAATACCATAGTGTAATAAAAGAATATATATTTTATCGATCTTTACAAACTAGATTTGTTTTTATGTTATATAAACAACTTCGATCAGTCTTTGGCTGAATGTTACTACACCCATAGCCATTAAAAATGATTCGTATGTTTTCCAAACCGGTAAAATTAAAAGTCCTTTTTAAAGTAAATATATTATACAAAGGTGTCCGTTGAAATCTAATGACTGTAAATTAAATTATAAATTACGCCAAGAATTACCGTGTATGTCAATATTTTTTGTGCGTTTGGGTCAATTTGAGCAATATCCTTTGTGAACTGTTATCGTCCATATGAAAAGAAAGAATACCCATTGCTCTTTTTATAAACACATCCTTCTGCGTAATAAAAATTTTACATGGAGTCTATTTTACGTTTGAAACAAATTTAAATCTCTGATCAGGCTGAGATGATAATATACCGCTTCAAAATGCAATACAGAGTTTCAATTCACTGAAAGTGCACTTTATTATCGTTGTTTAACTTAAAGAGAAAGAGGAGCTCGATGGCGCAAGTGGTTAGCGCGTTCGGCTGCGATCGTTGAACTTAAACAACTTTCGCAGTGGTCGGTCATTGGAAGGGTGACCAAAAATTACTATCTCGAGCTCCTCCGTGCTTCGGAAGGCACGTTAAGCCGTTGGTCCCGGCTGCATCTGCAGTCGTTAGCACTCACGAATCCGCACTGGGCCCGCGTGGTGGGTCATAGCCCAATCTCCCTATTCCATCCATAGGGAAGGCCTGTGCCCCAGCAGTGGGGACATTAATAGGCTGATGATGATGATGATGAACTTAAAGTAGCTACACAACAAATTGAATCATCACTATTGTCTCAAAAAAATGCTTTAGCCTATGTATTCATTTGTACTAAAACTAATTGCACTTAAACTACACCACACCTTTTCCTTGTTACGACAATCAGGAGGCACCCAGTAAAGTTGCATAAGCGCACTTTACCTTATTTCGAAATACCTACCTACTTGTAGGACCAAACAGACTTTCACGGCAAGTTAACTGATACTGTTAATTTTGTCATTTCAGAAGAGTACAATACTAACTAAGGTAGGGGGGGAGAGATGCTTTTAAATTTTTAATATATTTACGACAAAATCAATTATACATATAGGTACTTAATATTTTTCAGATTCATTGTTTTAGGGGGACGTGATAGATGTATCATGTCTGTTCGTTAGTGAGCGGTCCATATATTTAACCATATAAAATAAAAATTAGGGTTTCATATGCCTTTTTTCAGCGCTCTATACACTTCTTAGGCCGTATACAGAAAGAAAGCCGAAAGCCGATCGGCGCCGATCCTTCCTACATAAAGGAAGCCGATTAAAGCAGATCAAGCAAAATGTCGGACTCATCGGACGATGATTTGGTTTTGTTAGAAAATGTTTATTTAAAAATGCGAAAAACAGCTATACATCCTATAAATAGAGAAAGGAAACGTTTCGGAGAATACCATCATTTATTTGTAAAAAAAATTAAATTTGATGAACAAAGATTTTATACATATACAAGAATGATTCAAGAAACATTTTATTACATTTTGGATTTAGTGAAAAACCGTTTGATGAAAAATTGGGGCAATTGGCATAAACAACCAATTCTTCCAGAAGAAAGACTTGTTGTCACCATTCGGTAAGTACGAAACAAATAATTTTAGCGCTTAGTTAATAAAAGATAAAGTTATTAGATTTATAAAAAGAGTATAACTTAGATTGATTTAATCTAAGGATAATAATTCAAATACAAATTATTTATTATTCGGACCAGCGCGTGTCGGCGCTGATCGGCGCCGATCGGCTTTCGGCTTTCTTTCTGTATACAGCCTTAGGTCATTAACCATATCCTTAACTATATCTCTAAGATACATTAATATTCATTTTCACTTATTAATATGTACGTAGGTATAATTAAAGCCTCCATCACGGCAAATAGTAAAAAAGTCTATAAATTCTCGGGGGCGTTCCCTTATAGATACCTACGTTGAAACTTGAAATTCTATCCAAAGCCCAAAGGCAGTATGGTAGACTCTTCTTAGACCAGTTTTAGATTTTCCCGACATTGGTGTTTCGCGTCATATTTACACGCCATATGCCAAATTAAATTTAATTTAAAATTATCTGTATTATCAATAGGTAGTTCAGAATGCAAAACAATTTAAAATATTTCACTACAGTACGGAACCCTTTGTTTTTGGAAGTGCGACACACACTTGACCGACTTTTATATGAAACTGGTAACAAACTAGATCTGACTAATTTCTTCAAATTCTTTCAGTAGTTTTATGTGATTGAGAGATAAGGGAAATAACTGTTATAAAGGAATAAGCAATAGCGGCCGCCCGGGAATCCGCTTCATCCGCGTTAAGTTTAGTTTTTTGAGAATCCCACATGAACTTAACATTTTCCGGGATAATAAGTATCCTATGTTGCAACCAAATCACGAAATTTCATCCAAATCCGTTCAGTACTTTTTGCGATTGAGTAAAAATCATACAAACACACACACACACACACTTTCACATTTATAATATTAGTAGGATATAGAAGGATTTTGATGAGAGACATCGTCTGACTGGCAGTAACTTACTCGTAAGCCATGCCAATTTAATATTGTGCCGCCCTCCTCTACTGACTGACTTCCTCTCACTTGTGATATTATTTTACTCAACATTCCTCTAAGGGTTTTTCATTAATTCTGTCTACAGTCTTGTCAGTTGATAAGCTTATGCGCGACAGTTATCAGCTGGTTTATGTTCTTCCTCCCAGTCCAAGATAGAAAATTATAAAAATCTATGTGATAATATTTTTTGTAAGTATAGAAAAAAAGAGAGGATAATGACTCCCGTCTACTGCCTGGACTACATGGTTTTTTTTTCTAGTAAAATTTTCTTTAAAATTTAAGCATCTAGCAAACTGTTCGGTTCCACAGTGTGTTTGTAAAAATATGTACGGCCGCTTACTTCAGGCGCACCATATGCTAGTTTGCCACCCTTTTTACTAAAAAAATACAATTTCAAGAAAACCGACTTCTTAGAAAACAAACCACTAAAAAGTCAGTTAGGCAGAGCATAGAAAATCTCCCGCTCGAATTGAAGCGCCCTTCTAAGAACGAAAGAACTAATAAACATAACCACCCATCCACGAAATAGAACAGAAGACCACAGTCAAATGGCACTAATATTTTGTTGGAATATTGTGTTTCTGTCAGTTAGTAAGGTTCCAGGGCTCTAGTGGAAAGAGGACAGGGTTCAAGGTGAGGGGCAGATGCAGCACGTATTTCTGCCGCACGCATCAACTAACTTCGCGACTGGACTCCCCTTACACGGGGTTGCTTTGCCCTATGTCTAAAATCTTCATAAATAATTAGAGATGCGTCGAATGCCGGTTCAACCGAATCATTCGGTTCAATTCTGCGCGGTAAAAATGCGCGGTTTATACAAATTATACAAATAGTAATGACAAATTCCTAGCTTTTATGTTGCAAATTAATATTTGTTATTTAAGGTTTTTTTATTGTATATTTGGTAAGTTTTATTTAACGTAAATAGATATTTAACATTAACTTAATTTTATTATCTACAATTTTAGATATAAAAATTAAAGATATGCTACAAAATATTTTCTGAATAAAGTTGTAGTTTTATTAAAATTGTTAATTTCTTAGAAATTTAATTTAGTTTAATTTAATATTTGTAAAAATGGCAGAAGTTTATTTGATATTATTTTATTTAAATTATTTGTTAGTTATTATTTTTTTTTTATAAAAAGAATTAAGAAACTTTTTGTACCTAATTTGTAGATACAAAAAGTAGTGTTTCTTTCATTTACAAAAATCTATGTAAATAAGTGTGGTATTCCGAAAGTTGTACTTTACTTACTGTTGCATAAAACAATCTTTTTTTTTAATTACAATATTTTAAATATTCCGTAATTACGAACATGAAAAATATGCCGAATGTACCGAAAACGAATATTCGGCCGAACATTGGGCGCATCTCTATAAATATTCTTGCTAATATTATAAATGTAATAGTTATTTATTATACAAGAGTGGAAAGTTCCTTTTTAACCGCGTGCTCGATTTGGATGACCGAGCAAGCGAAGGATTCTAAAGTTGAATCACGAGCGCAGCGAGTGATTCTAAATTAGAATCCTGAGCGTCAGCGAGGGAAACAAACGAGCACAAGGTGAAAAATCTTTCCACTCGAGTGCAATACGTAACTTTTCATCCCACCTCAGCGAGGAAATGACAAAATGAAAAAGAAAACAATTTATAATGACAAAATATTTTTATTTCAATTAAAACACATTAAGATAATCTATAAATTGAAGAAAATAATAAGAAGTAGAAAATAATTAAGAAATATTAAATGTAACGTTGCTACAGTTACTTATGTTAAGTTTAATATTTTTGTTAGGTAATGTTATGTTGGTGTTTGTGAATTGTGCGCTGTTTTGTGGTAAACTACTCGTATCAGTAATTTTAAATAGTTGTGCCGATTCATTGGATTCTATTGGCGTAAATGTTGGCGAGAGAGGGCTATTGTTTCCAATCTTATGGGGGCTCATTTTAGATGTAGAAGGGCGAGACCAAGAATCTGACAGAGGTTCTTTCAGCGTTATGGCCTCCACGATACTATTACAAATTTTTGATTTACTTTGGATTGAATCCTCTATGTATCCCTCTACAACCGAATTAGACTTCCAGCCTCCATGGCGCTTAAGCGATAGAAGATCAGCCCCTGATTCGGCCAAAAGTGTGGCTGAGGTTCTTCTAAAACAGTGACCGGTGTATAACGGGGGTTCTAAAAGTCCGAGAAAAGTTGCTATTTCTCGTGGAATACTGCCAATTTTATTCTGACCCATAGGTTGTCGGATACACTTTCCGTTGCGATATTGTAGAAAAAATCGTTCAATTGGGGTGTTAGAAGGACGTAAAGCTTGATATTTCTGAACAATGTTTACATATTCCTTGCGAATAACGAAGTTGCGGTCTTTTTTTGTCTTGGTATTTAGTACATTAATTAATAGCAATTCATCAGAATTATGAGAATATTTTGATACGTTATTGACATTAAGTAGTGTAAGTTCATTTGTTCGACATGCTCCGGTTATACCAATAATAAGAACAACCTGTAACAAAAGAAGTATTTATAATCGTAAATAAATTAATCAAATTAAAAATATTGTAAGTACTATGTACAATTTTATCAACAACAAAAAATTACACGTATTGACTTACTTTTGCCGCTAAATATACGGAATCAGGTGCTTCATTAATAAACTTTGCAATTTCAGATGCTGTGAAAACCTTCGATTTTTTTGGTTTATAACCAGATGAGGCTCTTTTTAAAAATGCCACTAATTTATGATAGGTGTCGATATGAACGTCTTTCTTCATCTTAATTGTTAATTTTAGCATTGAATACGTACTCCATAGCGTGCTTGCTTTCTTGGTCTCAGATAATTCTATAAAATATGCCAGCAAAACGTTTTCGGAGAAAGTTTTTGCTCCTTTAGCTAGTCGCCACATGTTAAATATATCGTACTGTTTCAAATACTTCTCTCGTGATTGCTGAGGGAGAAGGCTCATTTGCGCATTATTAACTGTTTCAGTTAACTCAGTTGGCGTTAGATAAACTTCATCGTCGCTAATGTCACTCATTTTAGTTGATTTTTTTGTACAGTTTTTAGGTTATGTTAATTATATTAAGCAATAAAACGTGAAAAACTAGAATGGCGCGAAGCACGCAAATAAAACAAAGAAACCAAGAAGGTTCCAAATTTAAATTTTTTCACAATTTAAAAAGTTCTAATCATAAATTTGGCACCATAGAGGTTACATTAAATAGGTTTAATGACGTTTTGAATTTACAATTATATTGAGTACTCATTATATGTGATGTTCTAAATTCAAATCTACTTTGCCGCTCAAGCGAATAAAATAGAATTTTCCAGCCAGATTTCGAAGCGCAAAATTACACTTTCCGAGGTGGTGGGATGAAAAAGTTTGTTACTCAATCACGCAAAAACAGGTGAACGGACTTAGATGATATTTTACACACAGACAGCTGCTATGACATGGAAAGTCATAGGATAATTTTTATCTCGGAAAATTGTTATGTTCCTGAGGGATTTTCAAAAAATGAACATAAACTCGATATCGCGGGTGACCGCTAGAAAAATACTATAATAACTTTATTTCATCTCTTCTATTAATACTTTATTTTATAACCATCCTAAAGTTTAGAAGTTTTGACTGCAACTGCTAAGATTACCGATAAAAAACTTCACTGCTCCAGATCCAATTAATTGAAATGACACTGAACTGTTTTGAAGATTATATAATTTTTCTTTATTACGGTACGTTACAACAATACTGTGTGAAGTGTTACGCACTTATGTAAACATAGAAGATGAGGATGACTGGAGGGATGGCCTTGTCTGTGACCTTCGTCAGCCAAGCGTTAGAGTAATTCAGCAATCCAAGACGTCAGCACAATCATTTCACCGAATTTGTCATACTCCACGAGCTTCCGGCATACATACAGGTGTAATTTAAGAATAAGTTACAATCAGCTGTTCCTTATACTTTACTTCGCTTCTCGTTAAGTATAACTTAACGAGAAGCGAAGTAATTCTAACTTTAATTGTCTATTTAACAAGAGAAATTTATTTTGGTGATATTATTTTCTTATTTTTTGCTGTTACAATGTTTAAAAGTAGGTATTAATTATAGCGCTGGTTTAACTAAATCAACATTTTTTTTTCGTTTGGTTTCAAGAAAATTGTGTTTGCGTCTTCTGTTTTAATTCTCTTAGAAAAATATTTAAGAAAATCCATTTTGTTTATTTAAAAGAAATCCTGTGCGGATTCATTCATCGCCAAAACTCTGTCATCATCATCATCATCAGCTAATTAATGTAACCACTTCTAGGGCACAGGTCTTCCCTATAGAGCGAATAGGGAGATTGGGCCATGACATGACCTACCACGCGGGCTCAGTGGAAATAGGCGCGGATTGGTGGGTTCTAACGACTGTAGATGCAGCAGGGACCAACGGCTTAAAGTGCCTTCCGAAACACGGAGGAGCTCGAGATAGTAAATTCTTGGTTACCCATCCAATGACCGACCAGTGCGAACACGCTTACCACCTGCGCGATCGACCACCTCAAAGCTCTAGGCAAATATGGACAACAGCTCTTTTCATAAATTGAAAAATAGAAAACACAAAATTATAATTGTTTTAATTATTACGACAAGAGATTTCGTCGACAGTAACAAAAATTAAGTAAACATTAAAAATATTTCCCGGCACGTTATGTTACTATGTTTTGGCTTGCCAAATAACAGAGCCGTTATTACAGGTAGGGTGACAATGATTGTGCATGCCTCGTCATACCATCTGGCAGAAGGCCGGGTGCCTACAAACAGACTCATTACCTCCCCAGTGACGATTGTCAATTACAAGACAAAAACTCTCACGGTTTATAAGGTTTGAAAGCACGCGAGCGCACTCAGAGCGCATCTCCGTTCGTTACATACTGCCGGTCGGTGGTGTGTGCCAGTGTTTTACTTGTGAGACATAAGCCATACAAATCCCACAAAATGTAAGTCGTTGCATACAACTAAAACAAAATCACTAACCTATTATTTGGTCATTATAAATTTTGTGTCTACTTTTAATAGAAGTTTCATTTAATAAATGTCGAAATTGATAAACACGGTAGAAATAAAGGGCCCACTTGTAAGAACTTTTGTTAACCCTAATTTAAGCTTAATCGAGTAAGGCTCACCATAATTTAAGCTTTATCGAGTAACTTAGGCTCGTCCCTTCACTCTTGTCAAGTACTAAATTTTAAAGGTGATTTATTGTTTTAAATTTCAAGTTTGGTGCAAGTGAATAAAGGGCCATAGTAAATTGACGACATTAACAGCAGCGAAGATCAATGTGCACACTCGCTTTCTTATGATAAATCAACTCCTTAGTATAACAAAATAAATAACGTCATTATTAAAAAAATACAAAAAACCCTTTAGAAAAGATTCTACTCGATCAAGTTTCAAACAGGATTCGATCCCGTATCTTCCGCTATCTGGGCTAATTTAACATATATAAGTGCTTATAAAAATAATATTTTTTATTATTAACATTATTGTATTGTAATAATTTATTAATAGTTCTCATTTAAATTACGATGGGATTTTGTATTTGGTACATACAGTGTTGCCTGTGCCTGACTGTGCTAAGTTTAGTGAGTGACTCAAAAATGTGACATTCACATTCTGAATGCATGTACATCAAACTTATAACCTATGTGAGAAATATAGAACAGCGATGACAAATCAAGGAAACACCTACAATTGCAATTCCTTCAATACGGTATTATTATGGTGTCGAACCCCAGACTTCAATGTCAAGTCTACCAACAACCGAGCCGCAGCGCTCAACTCTAAGCTACAGAGGTTCTAAAAGGTCAAAATCAGTCTCAAGTTAATACACGTAATACAAACATAATTATGTTATATTATCTTAACGTGGTATTAAATTACCTCTTTAATGGTATATTTATTATGAGCCATGAGCACGCTGTAGCATATTTATGGTCCCAAAGTAGCAAAAATGACCGAACAGTGACGTCTTAGTGGCGTGCACTATCAATGCAACGGAACAATGTTTGTTTGCTTTTTTTTATAAATAGATATGACAAATTACCCCACCGCACCTGATGTTAAGTGACGATGGAGCACAGATAGAAGTTAGCTAGTACAGCAGTTTTACCTGCCACACCAGCCATCCTCACATTGCCGGCCTGCACAGAATTGCTTCTTCACGCCTCGTATTACATCGCGGGTTACAGGAGGGAGGGAATACATTCAGTTTGCGAATAGTGCTATAAAGAAATGAGTCACCAAATTTCTTTGTTAACGTTGAAATAGTAGCCACAGTACACTTGTTAGCTTGCTTTATAATGCCGGCAGTTCATATAGCTATTCGTATTTTCTAATTTATTAACCGACTTCAGAAAGGAGGGTTCTAGATTCGCCCGATATTTTTTTAGGTATGTGTACATACTTATCGAGATTACGCCGCGATTTCTGATTCGATTAAAAGAACCACGTTCTTTTTTTGTCCGATGCGAAATATGTACTTGCCGTTTGATCCCATATAAAAATTACTCAGTTTGTGATTTAGCCCAGTAGTTTTTATTTTATAAATTTAACAAAAATCACTCCTTATCACTCCCTATAGAGTATGATAACCTGTAAAAATGAAAAATAGCAAAATACGAATAGCGATGTGCAGTGCTTTACATGGGGATTCTGATTTTCATCCGAATAATGTATTTTTTGTTAAGACGTGCATTTAGAAAAGAGTGATGTACAAAAAAATCATGTACCTACCTATAAATAATAAAACAAGCCATGTAGAAAACGGACTCGCACTATGGATTCCATTACCATCTTAAAGGTTTAATAACCACAGTTACTACAATACAATCACAGTAACTTTTATAAACCGTCGAAAAACACGTTTTGTTTATGGAATCCCTTTATTTTTAAGCTTTTTATTTTTATTATTTATTGGAATAGCAACCACAGTAGCACGCTTCTTTTTGAAGAAAATATGTATTTCTGCGGCCCTTTATCACACTTGCAGCAACTGATTTGCAACCGATTCTAAAGTATCGCTTGACGAAACTAAATACTCAAAATGCCGCTAAACAATATTTAAAAAGTAAACAGCTCCACAGCACGAACCACGATAAAATAAGAGATTAACATCCCTTGGGCACTTTGGGTATGGAAACTTAAAGACGACATCGTTTTTCTGGAATTTGCATTTCTAACATACCGTGTACAACGGTTTTGGTATTGGTGTTGGTCTTGAATAAAGATGGTAATGAAATAATGAACACACATAACATTCTGTAGGCCAAGCAATTAGCGTGGGAATGGTCTAACAAACTGTCGATTTTATTGTTTTGAGGGTCAATGTTTAAGGTTTCCTATGTAGATTAATTAATAACCTCCATTCCATATCAAGGAAGTGGTACTTAGTAAGTTTGAACTGTACTCCTAGCACGAACCAATATTGATTTCGTATCGTTTGCGAGTACTAAATGTCATTATCAAATGTGTACTGATTTTTAGTTCTCGTTACGTACGTTATTACGCTGCTGTTCAAGTTTTCGTACAAAATTTGACAATGACATTTCAGACTCGCAAACTATTCGAATTCGATAGTGCTTCGTGCTAAGGGTATTGACTAAAACTGTCACTTGATAAGATTTTTAATTAAGCACGAGTTTTGTTGTTCCCATCCATATCCGATGGGGTCAATAATGTACAATATGCACAGACCCGTCTTTCCCAGTGGGCACTTTGGGCAAGTGCCCAGGGCCCCGTGATCGATAGGTGGGCACCTCAGATCACAAATACAAAGACCCTAGTTCTCGTTAGATCACCAAACGGGGGTCACAGGGGCCCCAATATCCTAATATGCCCAGGACCTCCAATAGTTCAAAGACGGCACTGAATATGCATGTTCTTTGTAGTAATGTTGTTCAGAAATAATGTTAGCCAATAATAAATAGTACCAAAATGAAATAAATAGGTAAAAAAAACAAAACCACAAATTAATTTAAGATAAATAATGATCCTTTACTTATTAGGTATAGGATAAACTTACAATAATTAAACTTAATATTTATTAATATAATCACTTAGTGTCGATTAAGAATTACGCTATCACTTTTACCCTATGATGGATAATTCTTGGATAGTTATCTTTTATACTTGCAAGCTGCAGCCCAACTCATATGACATTTGATATATAAATAAAGTCCAGTTGTGAAGATGGCTGCGTGGCCTGAACCCAATCCGTTATTACCCCGTGGAGCTCTTGAACTCTAATTACCAACAAGAACTCAACACTGCCAAAATGACGTGTTATTAAACCGTAAGGTTTCATTTTTCTAGAGGGGGCGCTTTAATTCGATCAATAACGCTATGCTATGATCTAAGTTAGCTGCTGGGCTGGCGCATTGTATCTAGTCTAGTATTGATGACAATAAGTTTCGAGCGTAGCTTTTCGACTTATATTATACCTATTTATAGTTAACACTAGCGGCCGGCCGCGACTTCGTCCGCGTTAACCATGGGCGTACCCACACAGCTGCCCTACCTGCCCCCCTTAGAAATCTCGCAGAACATGTATGAACTCGCCTAATTACTCATCAAAGTGTAAACAAGGCGTTATGCTCTAACTTTTAAATAAACTGCGCAATAGACACTGGCAAAATGCACGGTGCAATTGCCAAAAAACCGCGCGCGACGATGGCGGACTAACATTACTGTATCTAGCCTAGACTGTATCCTGTAATTTCGGTAGGGAGTTGCGAGCGACTATTATTTTACTTCTATGATGTTTTATAGTTATACATACGCCATACACGCTTATAATTTGGCAATACGAAAGTCAGGTAATTGCCTGACTTGCATTCAGTCGAGCACGCTCTCTCGCCGCGGCTACACTTCCCTACAACTTGTAAATATTTTACGTTTTTCAAACCCAGAAAACCCTTACGTGTGTTTTAAGATAGTACACAAATTAAACGGTGACTATTAGAGACAAGATCCCGGTCATAAACTATATGCGTGCTGAATTTCATCCAAATCCGATCAGTAGTTTTTTTGTGATTGAATATCAAACAAACACAAACTTTCATATTAATAATATTAGTAGGATAATCATAATTGTGATGGGTGTTGGTCAGGGCCCTAGCGGGGAGTGCTACCCTTCGCAGCCTGCCGCCACGTTTTAAAAAATAAAAACTGAAAAGAAAAAAACAAGTCCAGTAGTCTACAATTCTGTTAATAAAGAACAAAGCTACTTAAACAGTCGGGACCCACTGTTGAAAAATATTATGTATTCTTGAATATCAGTTTTTATTTGAAGTATAATTAAGCAGTCGGGTTTTTTGATTTTTTAAATTTACCTTTTTATTTCACACTTTTTAGTTAGTTAGTATTTTAAGACGTATATACCGCGTAGTCTTGTTACTTCAGTAAGGGAATTAATATCGCGGGAATTATTAAGTACCTTGCGTCGGTCTAAAAGATTGATTTATTAAGACATATAAAGACTTTACCAGCGGGGTCAAGGCTACAGATGGGCCTCAATTTTCGCAAAAATGTGTGAAGTTAAATCAAGTCGTTACATAAATATCTCTAATGTATGTAAATTTTATAGTAAACTAGCACTTACTCAAAAAGTCATCTTTTGTTTATGCTTTTTTTAATAGTTTAGCAGTAAATATAAAATTCATTTACTTTTATTCGTCGACTATTTAAAATTGGCAGTGGCTGCATTGTCATGTCAATGCCGGACGTCTAAGATTGTGATATACACAAATTCAGTGTCAGTCCCTAGTCTCATAATTTGATATACCTACATAATTCACAGAAACCCAATATGTAGATGCCAGAAGTTAACTTCAAATGTTTTTAATTACCCTATATACAATACCAATCAATGACGTTTATGCCGCAGGTTGAAGAAAGCAGTAATTCCCGTCTGTTGTTTTGGACAATGGTGGCAACTGCCTTAGATCACTAAATTAAATAATTATGCAATCACTAAAGCAAAGTTTATAATATTTGATTAAACTAAAGGCGCATAATAAAATTTTCATAACGTTAGGTACAGCACCACAGCAATCTCATTTATTATCAACTTATAGTTCTCTTTGTAGTTTTCTTTTAAAGCGTTTACTTTTAACAGGTCAAAGACTTTGTGTTCGACCCTTTTTTATTGGTAGTGTAAAGCTCGAATGAAAAGTACTCCCAGTAGTGCAATCATGGCCATTATTTTCCAAATTTTTTTTTTGTTTAAAAAAATAAGTGCTAAGTAATTTTTACAAATATAATCAAATAAACCTATTTCTTACTTTATTTTTAAATCTTTATTATCAATTAAATACTTATCTTATCCTAACTATCTATACTAATATTATAAAGAGGCAAGATTTGTTTATTGTATGTTTGTAACAAATAATCTGTCAAATTACTGAACCGGTTTCAAATATTAATTCATCATAAGGTAGCTACGTTATTTATTATAACATTTTTCTTTATTTAAATACATTTTGTCCGAGTGACATAGGCTATATTTTATCCCGATAAATAAATTTCGCCCGTACAATGCCCGGGTGGATCACTAGTAAGTATAATATAATGTTAAAGATGCGAAAGTGAGTTTGTTTGTTGCGCTTCCGTGCCCTAATAGCTAAATCGAATATAATGAATTCCCATATAGAAGTAGATGGGAACTTGGTTCTTAGCTACAACATCGCAATACTTATAGGCGTAGGGTGGTGAAAGGAGTGATTTACCTATAAAAATCTACATTATTTACTTTGAATTTTGCAGAATTATTACAAAACCAATATTATCGCGAGCTGATTAATAAATACAGGGATTCCAATAAGTATGTACTTACTAGTGAAAAATGGGTTATTTGTCATTATATTAAGTAAACCTTTTTTGTAACATTAAGTAATATCGTTAAAAAAATTAAAAACAGGAAAAGTCTGAGTTTTTTATTAAAATTCAATAATCATATATACCTATTATAATAATATATTTTTCATCATTTAATAAGAAGGAACTGTATCACAGTTTTATTGTTAGTACTTCGTATAGGATCAGATACTGCGAATACCCCATTTTTTTTTCTTTTACATAGTACACGGCGCTATCACTTTGTCATCGTTGTAACTTTTTAAATATTTGTCGAAATGACATTGTGTAAAAAGCAAAGTTTTCACTCTACATTACATTCATGTAACTTTTATTGTTTTTGCAGTGCAGGCCAACATGGCTAGCAGATGGGACATTTTTTTCCGTCTTATGTGACACTTATTGCTATATATTGGCCAATTCACTCAATAACTACATAAATTATTATATATATGTAATTATCAAATATGAGCTATATTACTGTTAAGTTTCATTAAAATCCATTCAGTATTTTTTAGGTGAAAGATTAACAAAGATCCATACAAACGTAAGATTGAAATTAAAAGCGTAAGTGGTTAATATACAACTTTAAAGCGTTGTAGATCCTAAACTATCATATAAAATGAAAAATGGTGTTAGGAACCTAAATATGATTTTTGATTATCTAGACAGTGATACCCCACTCGACATATTTTGTCAACTTTTTTTTTTTACTTCGTCACAATATGGCGCCTAATTTTGCCCATATTGAATTTTGATTACTATCATATCTTTAGTAGCACTCCCATGGTTGAGACGAATCGATTGATGTATGAATCATCAAAATCGGTCCAGGCGTTTGGTCTCTAGTGTGCCACAAAGGAAAAAAACATACATATATAGACTGTTAAACACATAACCCTGTCTGCGCGTCGCGCTTCGCGCTCTTGCATTGCGCAGCCGGGTAAAAAGGGCAACGCTATTTTGAAGCTCGGGCCAATGCCCAGTGGGGGCACATGCCCCACATTGCCCCCACTAGCTACGGCCCTAGTGTTGGTTGATAGAACCCTACCTTGTTGAACTAATTATATGTTGTTTTATGAATTATGGAGGTTCCTCCACCTTGCAGAAGACGAATGCGAAATAACACTTTCTTTTTGGTTGTGTAGTTTCTGATAGTAGCTATTTCCACTAGATATAGCGTGATCGTCTCCATCCTTATCTACTGACTTTTTTAATGCTAGATTAGGATACATACGGAAGTCACGAGTTTATGCGAGCTAAGAACGATAAATCGATTTTCAGAAAGCAATACAGTATATTACCTAAGCCTCAGCACGGGCCTCAGTGTGTGGGGTCAATAGGTTATTTCCAAGCGAATGTCAGGCGTCTAAAGTTTGCAGTAGCCTCTTATTATCATACAGACAGCATTCTTGTTTTCTACCATAATGATACTTATAAAATTTTGTTTCAGATGCTGTTCGGAGTCCTGACATGTTTGGTGTTGGTTCTTGGTTGCGTCTGCGCAGCGCCTACAGATGAAACAGTCGATACTGCCAATGTAGTATCTACTAAAGATCAACAAAACAATGACTTAAATGCCGACGCTAGTACATGTAAAGTATCTTACTCAATACATTAATATCTAGAGGTGGGACATAGCGGATTTTCCGCTCAAATTGGAGCGCCCGTCGGGGGAAGTAACCTCCACCTTGCAGAAAATCATTTTATAGAGCATTTTGTAATAAATTAATATCTTTTTTTTTAACTACTATGGCTCAAGATTACGTATTGGTAACTAATAATTGCATGCAAAAAAAACGACCACACCGCACGTTTTGGTTCAGAACATTATAAATGAAAATGTATTATGAATTACATAATAGTAACTTTTAATACTATATGTTACGTTTACAATAGACGAGTTTTTACTGTTAGATTTTGATATGTTACTGTTAGAGACCGAAAAAACAAAAAAAGCACATTTGATTTTTTTAATTAAAGGTTACCATAGTAAATTATCTTGTAACAATTTTAGTTACCACCGACTATTTCAGGGCTTACATGAGACTCGAAACTTATTTAATTTAAAATCAGGGCGCCGTGATACTGTGATTTGAGGGAGATAAATGAAAATGTCTAAAACCGCAGTGAACAAGATATTATATTGTTAAAAAGATTCAGATCTTATCTCATCATGGTTAAAACTTAATACTAGTCACATTCAAGTTAAAAATACATAGTTATATTTCTTCAAAGATTTTTCTTTTGATTTAAAGCTATTCAAACATTCAAGATCATGTGCTAATACAGTAATACTCAATTTAAGTTTCTTATATAAACAAATTATTAAACAAGTTATAAAATACTAAGTTTTAAAAATTTAACAATAAAAATTTGTTATGTACTTATAATGGCTTTACAGTTTACCAATAGAAATCCTTTATCACGTTAAACAGAAATTGTTCTCCGGAGTATGCACTGGTTAAATATCAAGAAGTTATAAGTTTTACTTAGCTTGGCAAGATCATGGGAGCATCAGGATGACTCAAATGTCCTCAGGGATGAAGCAGGAATTGCTGTCATCACGTGAACCCGTCACTTTTTGCTCAAGAAAGCTTCACAGGCTCATATATATATTTTTCCAAGGAGATTCCAGTCAGGATCAAGTAATTGTGATTATTATTGTTATTAATTAGCCAAATTAATGGACCTAGAACCAATTACATATTTTTCTATAATTCAATAAAAAAACTAACTGGACCTACAGCCGAACGAATCAAATGTATTGAACTTACCCGTTAATCCGGGGAGAAATATCAAGTATATGATGCACTGACTACCACTGCTAGTCTTAATGCTATTTTCTAAGTATGGTCTTCAAGGTTCTATCAGCCAAAAGAGAGCGAATCTGTTTGTGCACTGCTATTTATAGGCTACTACAACACGTGACAGCGTCATTGCAAATTTCTCTCATATCACCATATTTGGTATGAGGAAGCACACGGACCGGTTTTGCTGACTCCGCCTTTCAATGTTTCCAGAACATTAATGTGACGTCACATCCATTTCCGCATCTCATTAAAAAAAATTACACACTAGCTCCCTCTAACTTACATTCCAAATGCAACTACTAGGTTCACACATATATTGTACTTGTCCTTTGCTTTTCAAAGTGGATTTCGATATTGAATAATTTATATGCATGATGATAGATGGCGCTGAATAAATAATAATATTTCTACGACTTAATATTTAAGAATTATATTGCTAAGTTTTTAACGTTATTAAATTTAATTGCTACACAACATCCCCCTTATCTCAAAAAATTTTTCCCAAAAAAAATTTTTTTTAATTAATTAACCTGCAACTGACTTACAGACAAATCAACAATACTAAGTATTAGCCAAGATAAAAAAATTTAAACTTATATACGTGAGTATCCATTTATTTACTCCACGTAATGTTCTAAACTCTAAGTCAATAGCAACAATTAAATATTTGCTGTTTAATGATTTTTTTTTTTTTTTAGTTTCATGTAAATACCTTTCTTGGATCTAATATCCAGTGGTATAACATGGCCTTTTTTTTCATCTTATGAACTTAAGGTAGTTAAGAAAACAACTCAAGATTAAAGAAGTTTGTATGTTTTCTAACTCAAAAGATTAAGATTATTTTCCAACAATCTTCCTATCTTTAATTATCAAGTCTAAAATATATGTCCACTTCCTTATGCTTATGCCTTTCTTACATCAAGACCTATTTTTCTATTAAGTATTAAAATAAATTGCACGTGCTTATTTTGAAAAAAAAAAACTTTTCATACATCACGCATTTCATACTACTCTCATACCCATATGCATATCAGTAAACACAACTTGACGAAAATAATTTTATCAAAAAAATTTTTTTTTGTGTTAAAATATTAAAATTCCTCGAAATTTCATTTAAGCATTTTTTTTTTTTTAAAAGTGACCATATAGGTTAAAAAAGGTTGTAAATAAATATTTATTTAGTTAAAAGAGAAAAACAATTTAATTTTCAGGCAGGTTTCGAACCGTAGCCCACAGATTTCCATATGCACTCTTCCTATACCATAACTCTTCTTAACCAACCGTTTAATACTGAAAGTGACTAAAATAAGCATCCTATGTGGAATTCAAAGATTTGTTAGTTCTATTGTGCAGAATATTTTAGTATATCTTTAATATGATAATTACCTAAACATTTACCATTTAAATCGGTTAAAGTATAAACTAAAGGTGATAATTTAGCCGTCACTACACATTTAATAAATTTTGGTGCTAATTTGGAAGAAAAATTCTTTGCCTTATTGGATAAATAATGAGTACGTTTATACACTATCTGGCCAACTCTTAATTCAATGTGTCTTTTTCTGAGGTTATATTGTTTTTCGTTCCGTTGGTGGGCAACAATCAAATATTTCCTCACCTTTTGGAAGATATTATTAAGTTCAAGCAACTTTTTCCCATACTCCAATGTACTGTCTGAGGTAATTTGATCTAACGGACATGGAGGGAAGGAATTTAAATATAAATTACCATCTATTATATACTCTCTACCATGGACTAGGAAATAGGGTGAAAATTTAGTTGCTTCATTCACAGCCGTGTTTAAAGCACATTGCAATTCTATTAAGTGTTCATCCCACCTTCTATGTTCGGATTTTACATAACAGGCTATCGCATGAACTATGTTTCTATTTGCCCGCTCAGCTTGGTTCGTTTGGGGATGATACTTAGGATTGTAATATATGTTTGGTACATTATATTTAGTTAACAGCTGTCTAAAATGGGAGCTAACATATTGTGGACCGTTATCTATAAAGATGGTTTTACAAACGCCATGGACTAAAAATACATATTTTTCTATAAAGTTTGCTACAGCCATGCCTGTTGCTGACCGTATAGGGTGCAACATGACATATTTACTAAAGTAATCTGAAACAACTATTAAATAAGTATTTCTATTCCTTGAGTTTGGAAAGGGTCCCAATAGATCACAACTAATGGCTTCAAATGGCTTGGTCACTTTCTTAGGACTTCCCATAAGACCGGGACGTGCCGTGTTCACAGGTTTGTATTGCTTACACGTCTCACATTCACTTACATACTTTTTCACACATTCGTATAGGTGGGGCCAGTAATAATGTAAGGCGATCCTCCTATGTGTCTTCATGACACCTAAATGTGCACTAGTAGGGTCATCGTGATATTTCCTAAGAATTGCCGATCTATTTTCTTCAGGAACTACCAGTTTCCAATCAAATTCGCTAGTAAGATCATATTTATTTTTCGAATATCTATATAAGTTTCCATCTTTTTCCATGAAGTTAGGAAATTTACGTGGGTTATTCTTTACTGCATTTAACATATAAGAGTACCAACTATCTTTTGATAAATCTATTTCTATTGAGTCTAATTTAATACGTGACAAAGTATCCGGGAGGATATGATCCCGACCCTTCCGGTGTTCTATTTTAAAGTTAAATTGACTAAGACGCATGCTCCATCGTGCTAAACGACCTGTGGGGTTTTTTAATTTATAAAACCACAACAGTGAAGCATGGTCTGTGACTATGGTACATTCCTGACCTTCAACATATTGTCTAAATTGTTCTAATGCATAAATAACAGCTAATAATTCTCTCTCTGTTGTACTATAATTAACTTCATTTTTATTAAGTGAGCGGCTACAGTAGGCAATAGGGTGTTCCATTCCGTCATAAGACTGGGTGAGAACGGCCGCCGCTGAGTATGCAGATGCGTCAGTCAAAATACGGAAAGGGCGCGAATAATCTGGCATTTTTAAAATAGGGGCAGAAACAAGGGCAGTTTTAAGCAAATTAAAGGATTTCTGTGCCTCAGAGTTCCATTCAAAATCCACATTCTTACGGGTGAGTTTACATAACGGTTTGCTGATTTCAGAGAAATTATTCACAAATCTTCTGTACCAACCTGCCATTCCAAGGAATCTTTTTACCTCCTTGGGGTTCGAGGGTGTAGGATAGTTAAGGATTATATCTACTTTACCAGGGTCCGTTCTTAAACCATGTTTATCAATGTAATACCCTAAATATTTGAGCTCTTTGCGACAAAACTGTGATTTTTTTTTATTTATTGTCAGGCCTGCTTCTTTCAGGCGCTGATATATTTTCTCTAGGAGCTCAATATGTTCTGAGAAAGTGTTACTAATGCAAATTATATCATCTTGAAAAGCAAATACCTTATTATCGAATTCTGGGCCAAATAATTTATCCATTAAGCGTTGCATGGTTGCTGACGCCCCTACTAACCCAAAACACATCACATTAAATTGAAATAAGCCTCTACGAGGAACTGTGAAAGCTGTCTTTTCAGCAGATGCTGCAGAGTCATAAGGAATCTGCCAATATGCGGCACTAAGGTCAATTGAGGTTAAATATTTAGCGTTGTTAAGATGATCTAATATTTGGTTAATATAAGGCAAGGGATAAGCGTCTGGTTTTGTGACGTAATTAAGTTTTCGAGAGTCTAGGCATAATCTGGTTTCACCATTGGGTTTTTCTACCATTACTACTGGAGAATTCCAAGCCGATTGGGAAGGAGAAACTACC